ATGGTGTCTATAATTTCTCCTTGCTTCAAACTCTCCTCATCGAGTGCCCAGAGAATCTTTACACATATGATAAAGTCATTCCCTGCTAGACAACCTTCAGGTCTCAAAATCAACTAGAGACTTAATGTTTCTTGGTATGGCATTCAAGGCTTTCTTAGAGTCTGATCCCAACTTTCTCATTGTCTTTAGAAGCTCATAAAGCTAACTGTTAGTCAATAAGCTGGAGATGTATCATCCATATCCATTATGAACAACTTAAAGTTTGATGCTATATTACCTGCTTTCATCTCCATCACGTGATTCTGTTGGTTAGTCTCAAGAGGTGAGAGAGGGCAGTGTTCCATTTTATAGATTGGAAAAATGAGACCCAAGGAGAGTAAATAATTTGTCCAGGACCTAAAAAGTGAGTTCTCCTAAGTGTTTATTCTGCTCATTTTCTTCTCTCTTTTCATTTTCTTCTCTTACACATCGCTTTGGCTCAGTCACATCTCTCCACCATTTGCTTCATGCACTACCATCTTTCGGGGAAGCAGGCTTTGCAACATCGGACGGCTTAACACTGAGTTCACAAAAATGGAGAACCTCGGGCTAAGTCTGCTCAGATGTGTTTTATGAGGTGCCCTTAAAATCAGGTTTCACATAAGTTCCTGAATTTCTGGCTTGTCATGAAAGATCTGAAGGTCTGGCAACATTGTGCCACATTCCCGTATAAGCAGGGTCGGCTTGAGTTGAGCAGAAGCCGACCCTTCTGGCCAGGGGTTGAGCTGGAGTTTTCCCCAGCTGCTACCACTTCATAATGCCTTAAGCCTGCTCTTCTTTACTCACTTATATGACCCGCCCGGCCTTAGTAACATTTGAGTTTGCAACCCTTGGTGTAAAGAAAAAGAAAAAAAATCTATTTTCTACAGATGAGATGAAATATTTTAATTGAAGCAATAGTATGTGATTATTATTCCTGAAGGAAGTCTTTGTTTTTTGGTGTTAAGATTTTAGTTTCCCAAGGAGCATGTTAATATTGTTTTGGTTTTCTTTCTGATTTTTGACAACAGAGCAATTTGACCCAGAACTCTTAGTGACAGTCCTTTTGGCTGAAAATCTTTGCAGGGCCTTTTAATTAGGAATTGACAGGGTGATTAACTTATAATTCACAAAAATAAATGTGGAAAAGAGAAGTACAGGTCAGTATCTAGCTGTGGTAAACTGTAAGGACAGCAGCATTGCCAAGTGATTGTTCCTTTTTAACAGCTTTTCTAATTTTTCTTAATTGGATCCTTTGTTTTCTAATTGGATAGGGAGAACTATCATACGGCTTTCAATTACTGGCCCTGGCATGGTGATCCCGTCATGTGGCACACACTATATGAAGTCACACTCTCAACATATAGAGCAAAATAAATATTGTCTCCGCAGAGTTTTTTTGTGTGAATACGGAAGAGGGGCAATCGTTCATATCCTGGGTGGGTAAATCCATGCTGGAATGGGATGTACCAACCGGCTTGCTTGTCCAGGGAGACTGTTTTGGACTTGGGCTTCCACTCTATCGACTAAGTTATAGATTATAATATGTTAAAATGTTTAGTCATCATAATGGAGAAATGCTCCTAAAGACAAGATTATCATTGCATGATAGATAAGATAATATTTAAAAATGTACACACACATACAAACACATAGGAGAAAGTGCCAGTGTCCTCAAGGTAGTTTGTTTTTTCTGTCCACTGGTGAATTTAGAGATTCTTTTTTAAAAAAATTTATTTATTTATTTATTTATCTGAGAGAGTGTGAGTGGGGTGGGTGTGCAGAGAGAGATGGGGACAGAGGATCCCAAGCAGGCTCTGTGCTGACCACAAAGAGCCTGATGTGGGGCTTGAACTCAGGATCTATGAGATCATGACCTCAGCCAAAGTCAGAGGGTCAACTGACTGAGCCACCCAGGTCCCCCTAGAGATATTTTTTTCCAAGGAAAAAAGTTCTTCTATGGCTTTCTTATTTTACAACTTCCACTGCATCTCTTTTGCCTATGGGATACATATTTTATCATGTCCTATATCTGACCCAACTTCTTTCTCCAGCTCCATCCTCTGAAGTTGCTAGGCATGCACTTCATCCTCTGTTCACTGAGCTTTTCTCCTTTCCTTGGAGATAATGAGTCTTTTAGAACTCTGTTCATGCCGTTTCTGCTTCCTAGTATGCCTTTTACATTTTTGGTTAAACTTATTCATCGGTCAATATTGGATTAAAAAGGTTACCTTCCCAATGAAGCTTCACCTGACTTTTCCCAGGCACAATTTGTTATTTAGTTCTCTGTCAACCGCTGAGCTTTGTTAATATCTTTGTTACTAGCTTCTGCTTATTCATTCATTCAAAACTACTTTTTGAGCATCTCTATGGATAGGTGCTAATGCTGGGGCTACATAGTTATTAGGATGACTGAGGTCCCTGATCTTAATTAATCTTAGATAATTTTTTCTCTTACTGGACTTTGGAGTTTACAGAGGGTAGGAATTTGCCTTATTTTATATTTTCATCGCTACTGCCTAGACTTGCACCTAGCTCAGAGTGCTTAAGTGACTAAGAAGTGCTCTTTTTTTTTTTTTTTTACATCTTTTGGATGAAGAATATTGATCAGTTTTTTAAAAAATTTAACTCCTGAGTGAGTAAACCTAGCATATCTGCATTCTTGGCTTTTAAACTTGGAATAGAAGGGGCATCTGGGTGGCTCAGTTGGGTAAGTGGCTGACTTTGGCTCAGGTCATGATCTCGCGGTTCGTGAGTTCGAGCCCTGCATCGGGCTCTGTGGTGACAGCTGAAAGCCTGGATCCTGCTTCAGATTCCGTGTCTCCCTCTCTCTATGCCCCTCTTCCACTCATGCTCTGTTTTTCTCTCTCTTTCAAAAATAAATTAACATTAAGAAAAAAATTTTTTAACTTGGAATTGTCGATGAGATCATCATTACTGTTGTTGGTATGTTCTGGAATCTAATGAACTTTTGGTATAACTTTTTTTATGCCTTTGGTGTGTACAAGTCAGATCCTCTGATGGGTGCTTTGGCTCAGTACGATGGAATGGCCTTATTCCAGAGAGGAAACACAGTCTCTGATTAAATGCCCTTAGCAGGCAGGGACAGGACACAGCTGGGGTTTGAATCAGGCTAAATCCCGTCCAATTGGAAATCAAGAAGCTGGTGCTTTCGAAGATTATAAATCTGGAAAGCAGCAGAGATGAGGGGCTATGAGTCCCTGCTCAAAGCAAGGTAGTGCCACTTCTCCTTGATTGTTAGCGCTGCTTCTTCTGGCTGATGCTCCCAGAATGACTGTAAAAATGGACACGGGAAGAGATACGATTTCAATGCTGGTACTACTCAACCCACGCTTCCCCCTTCAAAAAGAGAAGTAATTAAAATCTTGGAGAAGATGTAATTCAGAATATGGAATGTCGTGGAAATGAGGAAGACCTGAAATAGAATGCCAGAAACTCTTGTTTCCTGTTTCCATGTTTTTCTGAAAGGGATAAATACAATGTTACATATCAGAGCTTAAGGCTGGCAAGTTAATTAGCTCACTGTTACCAGTGACTTTAGATCATGGGATTCTGCCTCGTGTGACTTGCCTTGGCTCTGTGGTATGTGTATATATACCACTCTTCAGCATTTATTGTGGTTGCTTCTCTGTTCTTGGCCATGAGTTGACTTAGTGGTGCCATTGCCAAGATGAAGATATTCAGGAGGAGCAAGGTCACTTCTTTCTCAGGCAGCTCTGTGGATGCTGGAGCTGTGTGCACGTCTGGCTATCTCTTGAACAGACTCTCTCTGTACCATATACCCCATGTATGCTGACAGCCTATGCCTCTGAGCTCATTGCTCTAAGTGCTTGCTTTTGAATCCATGCTTCACACACTTTATTTACATGCTTTATTTTTCATTTTATGAACAAATCGATAACTAGGCTTACTCTTTATTGCACTGGATTAGTTTTATTTATTCCTTTTGAATTTGATTAAAAAGCTGTCAAACAGAAGTCTACATTTTTATCAACAGAATACTTTCACAAAACTGGATATGAGATGTGTTCAGCTAGAACATACTTTTCAAAATAAAACAATGTTTGGTATATTCTAGACAGTTACCCTTTCGTTTATCCATGACAACTGAAACTGAGCATCAAATGGATAAAGTAATCCAAGTCTAGTCAAGTAATCCTTAGGGCATATGAAAAAAAAAAAGGCTTTTTAAAAAGTTCTTTCTAGATGGATCTAATGTAATTCACCAATAAAGCATCCTCAGAAGCATAATAAAAATTCTACATAAAATGACATAGCCAGGGCAAAGGAAGATATACAGTTTGATGAAGATTCAAAATGGATGCTAACATTAAAAATGAGTGGTCATGCAATTCCTGTATAATATAAAGATCAAAATTCCAGGGCCCTAATTTTGCTTCTCACTTATAAGACAGTATGTTTATGGGACTGCAAATACTCTGTGTGTGTGGGGGGGGGCATAAAATCTCCAATGACAAATGTTTTGAACTATCATTTTTCTTCGAAAACATTGCCATTCAACATGTTGTGTTTGTAAATTTCACCATCTAGCGTTGAGGATAGCTGGGCTATATTTTATATTTGCACATGCGGGAAATGTTCCTGAGAGATGAGATATATCTATTTTAGTGGAAAACCTAATCTTCTTTGTTCATTCAAAAATTATTAATTTCTGGCTTCTTTCCTCTGTTGGTTCCTCTCATGTACAAGTAGGAGTATGAGAACATTCCTGAGGCAGCCAGGTTAGTGAGAAGGCTCACCTGGGTGCACAAATACCCATGCTGACAACACTCACACTCACACAGTTATACACCCGATGCTTGGGAGCAGCTTTAAAACTGCTTTTTGGATATGTGCTGTGCTCCACACATTTTTAACAGTGTGGAGCATGCGTAATGAATGCCTCGAAGCGCTAGAAGGGACAGGAATGAAGGGGTTAATGTAGAACACATATAGGCAAATATTGTCAACTATTTTATTCAAATGTTTGGAACTTAAACACAAAATTATCATTAGGTTTTCACAAAACGAGGCATCTGTCGCTTGAAAGGAAAAAAATATTTCAGAAATATGTTTACAGAAATGTAAAAATATTAGGCATCGAGACAGATGTGAACATATTCAGTAACTTGTCTTGTCTGTCAGTCTTCCTCTGAGCCGAAGATCTTATTGTACTCACTCAGCATGAGCTCCGCTATCTGGTTTTGGTATACCATATGTACCGCCATGTTCCCCATCTCATCTTCAGCTCGCAGAAGGGTGGGTCCAAATACAATCCCCAGGCTTTGCGTGGACATGAGGTTCTTGGAGGCTTTGGCCACTATCCTGGAGGGGGAAGAGAAAGAAAGAAGATTCCATGAGTTTGAAGTGAAATTGTGGTTACTTTTGATTTATAAAATTCTGTGTTTTTGAGTGCTTTTTTTTTTTTTTAAATTTCAGTTTAAAGAAAGGGCAATGATTGGCTTTGGCAAAACAGAGAATGCAATGCAGGCAAAACATTTTTCTAGTTCTACAGAAGCGGCAACTACTGTAACATTCTTTAGTCTTCTGCTCTTTATGTTTTATTGTATGAAAATAGGACCTATGACTTTGGAGAGAAGGATTCATTGCCTTGTACAACTTTTTATCCCCATAGTACTGGACATTGTAAGTGCTCAATAAATGTAGCATGAATAAGTAAACAGCAAACGATTCTGTGGAGCGTTAACAAGAGTCAGCCTTCGAAATGTTTATAGTCGGGGCAGCTGGGTAGCTCAGTCAGTTAAGCACCTGACTTCAGCTCAGGTCATGATCTCGTGGTTTGTGAGTTTGAGCCCCATGTTGGGCTCTGTGGTGACAGCTCAGAACCTGGAGCCTGCTTTAGATTCTGTGTCTCCCTCTCTGCCCCTCCCCTGTTCACACTCTGTCTCTCTCTCTCTCAAAAATAAATAAACATTAAACATTTTTTTGAAAAGTTTATAGTCAATGGAGGAAACACCTAAAATATATAAGAACTGAAGCACAATAAATAAAACAATATATGCACAGTTGATGATGGAAAGTAGACATAGACCAAAAAAATAATAAGATTTTAGTGATTGGAGTAAGAAAAGTGTTTCTGACAAATGCTGACTGGAATATGATTTGTAGAGAAGGTAGGTTCTAAGACATTTAGGTGTATGGCAAAATTCTAAGTGTCACCATTCTTTTTAGACATCCAATTTAGCTTACACTTCCATAAAATACAGAATCCTGTAGCATTTGCACAAGGAAAGAGTCCCACTGGAATCGAAGAAATGTTTGCTTGTGTGAGGACTGTATGGGGAGCTGGAATACCCATGAAACATTAGGATGTGGTTTTATTAATGGTTACACCTTGCCTGCTTCAACACAGGACTCTTAAAAGGAAAATAAAGCCCATCCTATATATTGAGACTTAATTCTTACCATTGGAGCCTACTTCATTTTATATTACAGTTAGAAAGGTTGAGGTTTTAGCAATGTTAAGGAAATAGGGATAGCATATGGAAGGACAGGGTACTAAGAAATACTAAACTCTGCACTCTACCAGACACCTTGACCCAAGGGAAATATGAGTGTAGAGAAGAAAGTGAGGCAAAGGAACTTTATCACAAGGCAGTCAGGTCTCCATCTCAGAGCTCTCTGTCGAACACTGAAATGCTGGACTTTAGAGTATCTTTTGTTTGGTCCTCTATCAAGGGAGGCAGGAAGCCTTGGTTTACTTATCTTTTCATAGACTCAGATTGCTGAAGTACCAGTTCTGTGACCAAAAAACCATGCCTTCTCTCTCCTGAATGAGACTGAGAAGGACCAACACCACTGATTTATGACTCCCCACAGCACGCGTGCATGGCCAGCAAAATGCCCTTGACTTGCTCAATATAAACAAAATCAATATTGTTCTAAATAATTGTATTATCATCTCATTTAATCCTCATAACAATTCTATTAGTTGGCTTCTATGACTGAGCCCATTGTACACAGGAAAACAATGAGACTGAGAGAGGTCTAGTGCCTGATGTCATACAGAACTGAGTTTCAGACCCATGCAGTCTGGTTCCAATGCCTTGGGAAGCATCAGCATGGTGTGTGGTATAACTCCTATCATTAATTACTGGGCCAGCTTGTCATTCTGCCATCTCCCATAACATTATAAGATCCTTCCATGAAAGGTCTGAATTTGTATTCCCCACTGCAGAATTGTGATTGACAGCCTGATTCTAACAGATTTATTGTGGGCAAAATGGCTCTCAAATTTCGACTGAATATTAAAGGTATTCTGCCTCCCATTTTCACCTTTTTTTCCTGCTTTCAATGGAGAGCATGTATACCTGTGAGCAGCACTGACTTGGCTACCTCCTGGAAAGTGTTCTCATATTTTAGAGTGTCCGTGAGTTATCAGAGCCTTCAAGTTTAAAGTTTCCTTTGGAACATAAGAAACTATGCCACTTTGTAACTGCATTTACCAAAAGTCTGTGGAAAGATTTAAGCATTCTCCTAACCTGGAGTGGGGAATGAATGCAGTGAATTAGCCTTTGCTTCATTTTAAAACATGTATTTAAACAGACTTTTCTCTTTTGATTTTAGAGTAACACCTTTTTGTGATACTCTTTCATTGACTCTATCACAATTAAAAAAAACTCATCAAAGGCAAATATGGAAACAAACATAACTAATCAAGTGAGTACAAATTAGGCAAAAGTTGCCTTAACAAATTTATCTATAGCTATAAGTTGATAAGATTTTTCTAGCAGAGAACAGGGCTCAGAGGTAATAGGGCATGGATACAGTAGAAAAGAAGCAAGAAAGTATTGACAGTGTGAGGTCAAATCACTGATATAAGGCATCTTGACCAACAAGGAAGAAGAAAATTAGGACTGGAGTCCAGGAAGACTGGAAGGGGGAAGTGACGATGGGAAGATTGACTTGAGGATTGAAGATGTATTTTCCTATTCAATAATAGCTATGATTTTCATTGGTAGAGGAACAGTGAAATTTGGGATAGTCGGGAGACAGAATTGCATCAAACTTACAAAGAGGAGGCTAGCAATCAAGGGAATCCAAGAGCTCACTATTGGAGAGGGTGGTCGGAGCTGTCAGGAGGGTTCAAGAGTATCCTGGAAGAGGCCTATAGTGTCTGGAGAAACCTGTGTGTGTGTGTAGGAGGGTGGCCCAGCTTTCCAGGGCATACTAGAAAGTTATAGCATGTAGGACATGGGCCATGAGGATGAAGAAAGAAGGATAAAATGGGGCTAGACTAGTTTTCAATTTTCCCTGAGTTCTTCATATTTTTCCTGCTCAGCCAAAGGCCTGGTCTTTGAATCCAGAGTAGGGCAAAATCTAGAGGAGGAAACCAAGACTTGAGTTTAAAAAGGATGGAGAGTAGGAGGCTAGCCCTCCATGTCCGAACCCACCTAGAGGAAAGATTTCTCTATCTTAGCCAGTGGGTTATGCAAGAGGATTCTTGTAAGGGATTTCTGCCAATGCATCAGTTTCCTAAATTTCCTGTGGACAAATGTTCATTTTGTGCTTTTATGCATGTGTCAATGTGGAGCATTCATTCCATCTCAAACTTGTATCCTTTCCATCCATTTCTTTGCACACTCTGCATACTGTTTGATTTTAATAGAACCAGCTTTAGCATATGAGTGCTTTAGCTTTAAAATAATCTTGTTATCATTAGATTTTACTAAACAACACATCGCTTTGTATTCTTGTTACATTTGCATTACTGCAGGTTAAATTTCCTTAACAGCTTGGAGTTTTCTACTAATTTTGGAAAATCAAGTTACTTGGAGTAACTTTAAGAAAAATCAAATGTAGTTAAGAAAGAAAGTTAATAAGATAATGCAGATGTGTATTAAATAGAATATACCCATCTTTCTTATTCAGTGTTACAGAATGTGTGCTTGTGTGTGTGTGTGTGTGTTTATGTATATTTCATTGGCAATTTTTTTTCTGAGTATCGACCAACCAGTAGTTGGTGTGTGGAGAAATCAAACTTTTTGGTTAGAAAAGATACTGAAAGTGAGTACCAATTTGGGGTAGAAGTCACCATCTATTAAATTATATGATTCATGTAGGTAGGCAAATACATTTTCATATCAATGTTTAAACTGGATTAGATTCCTTTCTAATAGTGAATAGACATTTCTATCAAAGAAGTCCCAAAATTGGGGATGTCTTGGAAAATGTATTAAGGTCGTTATAAACTTCCTTTTTCAAATGCAAACTTAACTGCTCTCTACCTCAATAAACTGTTAAACAGTTAAGTGGTTGATTTAGGACCACATAGGGAATCAACCAGAATTTTAAAGTATCGCTAGAATATTATTTTGAAAAATTATTTAGATCTCATAGGTTTTTTGTTTGTTTGTTTTGTTCTGTTTGTACCTCAAATCGATGGATACCAAAATTTCCACTCCCACTGTGAGGACCAGCTGCATATTGCAAGTGCTATTTTATCTAAAAACTTCAACAGTAAACACATGTAGAGGAGAAACATAGGCTATTGAAAGAAACAAAAGTCATTCATGGAAAAAAAAAATCCAAAGGCAGAAAACTCTCAAAAACAATTAAGTTATACTTCCAGTAGCTTAAAATGAGTTGAGTCATATATTTGGAAAGGAGGCTCTGACTCAGAAACCATGTAGATTTTTTACTATGGGTCTGATGATACTTTTCACTGAGGTGAGTTCTGCAAAACCCCCTTTCTGCAATGTGATTTACAAAAACAGCATGCCAAAGTAAGATAAGTTTTGGAGAAGTTGTATGCCATTTATTTTCTTGGAAATTCATGTTACACAATAGCAGAATAAAAGCTCTGAAAAGTCCTGCAGGAAAAAAAAAATATCCCTGCTCCTCTTTGTTTGACTCATGTCTTCCTTAACTGTGTTGGATGTCAAGATTCCCTTTCCTGAGGAGCACGGGTTAGGAAATGCCGTTCTGGCTGGTTTTGCCAAAGACCTACTATGTAGGTTTGAAAGTCTTAGGGATTTTACCCTCCTATGCCACCTGGTTTTGGAAGCTAACCCGAAGAGGTCAGATTGCGGTCATTTCTGGAAAGTTCCACCCCTCTGGCAGGGCTTAGATTTCATTAGGCCTTAAACTCCATGACAGTGTTGTAAATTTTGAGCTACAATTTAACCTGTTTTCAACAAAGAAATGAAAGAAATCTCCCTTCAGTGGCAAAACAAAGACTAAAATGCAAAAGAACACATCGGAATGAGAAAGGTGAGGCCAAAGACATGGTTGAAAGATTAATGTACAGTGAATTGATGGATGGGCAAGGAGGTGCAAAAACATTCAGATCTTATAACAATATT